TCCCTAACAACGCATTGCAATCACATCTTATCCTAGTTCATTTTATTAACTTTGCTAGTTTTCCTGACAGAACACTATTTAACACTATTATAAATATTCATGCTACCAATATAAAGATAAAACAATTCATCAAAACTTACTATTTCGCTCTATTTTTTCAATTGTTGAACATAAATGTTATTTTCAAACTCAAAGATTTTGTTATAGAGTCATCTTTGAAATCTTTACAATTTTACGAGGAAAAACTATGAAAATATGCTTGGAAGCCCTCTTCAGGAAGTGTCATGTTTAGGAAACACTCAGTGCAGTAGATTAACTCTCCAGTGGGCAAACTCTCCAGTGTAAGTGAAAGATTAATCTTGCTTGGACTGATAACACTCAAGTTGTATGACATCCAGTCATGTTGATAGTGACAGCATCTGAACAGACCGGATTAGTAATGATAGCAGTAATGGCCTATGTATGAACTGATGCTACTCCACCAGCAAAACCAGAAAGACCAGACACCACTGGCTTCTCCAATTCAAAAGCAGGCAACAGCACATTATTCTAAGCATGCAAAATTCTCATGCACACAAAACTAAACGCACTTAGGGACAATGCTCAGTACCAAATTGTGTAAACTTCAGGAGAAATTAAATGCAGCGTGCCTATGCAGCTGATACCAGTTCCTAATCAAATGTGGTAGACTCGAAATCAACTCTTCAGTAATGTAAATTATCCTTTTGAAAGTCTTTTTTGGAACCTTTTTAAGTTAATGTGTGAAGTTTTGCAGAAAATGTGTCACTTTTTCTTTGAACAAGTCTTTCTTTCATGGTACAGCACCATAAGGTAAATTATCTTTGAGGAACATAAAGCACACTCAAGTCACTCCTTTCTTTTGAATATAGAACATCTGAAAATTGATGAAAATTTTATTGGCCTTGGGTTGTAATGTTTAACAGGTTTATCTAATTTCATTTCAGAGCATTTACATAGTCATATAAACTTTTTTTCTTTCTAACCATAATCATCCTTTGACTTATTCTTATTAAGCTTATTATACCTAGAAAAGTACAAGGAAAGGACAGCTAGATTTCTGCACCCAAAACTTCAAGGAGCAATTGCAGCATATTTCTTGAGAATAAGCAATGTGAACTTAGAAACACATGAAGGTCACATTGAGAAGTTAGTTAAAATTACAGCCAAAAGCTAATCCTGTTAGATTAAGTTAGACCAGCTTTTTGAAATGCTGGCCTTCGATTTTTATCATCTCTGCAGATGAGAAAATGCAAATATGCCATAGAAAGATTAAAAAATAATAATAAAAAATATTTTAAAATCAGCATCTGGAAAGATGTAAGAGTGATGGAAGAAGAATAATCAGTTATGTCTGCTTATCAAAGTATTTAGAAGGCAAAAAAACCCCCACACTCAAAATCTGCCTGTGGCCAACTTTTTCTGACTTTGTGTCATGTTTACTTTGAATAAATTTTCCTTTTTTATTATAAACTAGCACGACAAACATTTGTTATTTACTGTCATAGCGAGGTAGAACTGCCATAGGCAAACCTACTAGACATGTCTTTTTAGAAAACACAAGAATGGGGCTGTTGGGTGAAAAGAAAGGAAGGCAGGCCTGGAATCCTTTATATTCTGGAAAATTGGAAGAAACGTCATTTTATCATAATGACAGTTGTCATTGGCATTTTGTGTCTTCTCAAGGAAGTTCAATTTTTTCTTGATACAATGGCAAAGACTGTTAGATACATTTTTTTCCCCACTTCAGAAGCATCTTTCAGGGCTTTTCTTTACCTTAAGTATATACAGCGTGGCTTTTTTCTAACTACAGAGTATGTTTAGTACAATACATACAATAGCAATCCCTGCCTAGTCTTTAAATGAAAGTTGTACCATGCTTCAACTGTAAGATACGAATAAACCTAGAGCAGATCACTATGTAAATTAAGTTCACAAGGAATTTGTCATTGCTGTAATCCCTCACACATTTGTACTTACCTGCAGGTAAATATTTCAGCTGGTTGTTAGCCAAGCGAAGATGACGTAAGGATCTCAGACGGCCAATCTCTGGACACACAATTTCGAGGGCATTATCACTTAGGTCCAGAAACTGCAGTTTAACGAGGGAGCCAATGGCTTGTGAGAGAACAGATTAAAACATGAATGTGACCCAACAGTAATGTTAAAATCTTAATAGGACTATGAGAGGATAAAAAGCCACAGTACCTAACGCCTACGTCTGAGCAGATTTTGACTTATTAAAGCCGGTTTCACAACTGAATGACATAATCTGTGGAAATGCTTGTCTATCTAACAAACAGTACTGCTGGCAGTGAGACAGGGAGGAAAAAAATAGCGATGTACAGAATACTCGCATTTCTAGATTCTCCTCAGACAATTCTGCTCCGAAATCCCATTTTCCATTCCTTTGCTTTAAGTCTATCCAATTTATATATTCAGAAACAGTTTGAAGTACTTTCCTGAAGTTGGGCACATAACTCTACTATTAAGACAAGGAAGGAAAGCTAGTACAAGATCTTGATAATTTAGGTTTCAAATCTGTCATGATATAAACCAGCAGAGTATTCTGTAGGGTAACTGGCTGAAAGCAGAAGACACTCTGGATTTTTGTTTCTGTAGATGAGTGCCATTTAGCCTTTTCACTTTCTGCAATTAGAACTGAAGCAAACAGCATTTATGTGCATTTGAGAATTCATTAAAAGAATTTAACATAGCATAAGCAAGGATATTATCAACTAAGAGCTACACTGGTGTATTTTGTATGAAAATCTTTAATGTTTTATGGGAAAATAAAGGAAAAATAGGCCTCTTCAAAGAAGAAAAATGAATATTTTATGATTCCTGACACTTATTGTGAGCTGGTAGATTACTTACCTTCAGGTACAACAACTATGTTATTTGAATGAAGGTACCTGGGAGGAGGAGAAAAAAAAGCAGAGGACACCACCTGTTACCCTCAAGGACTTCTGCTACATAATCAGTTTGCAAAATATCCAATTTCAGACTGAAAGAGCACCCTCAAAGCCAGTCCTCTCTATGACCACAAAAGCTGTGGAAACTGTATAAACTGGCAATGGATAGGTACTTAAGTTTCACTTAGACTATTAAATGATTAACATAAAAATAAGAGAATGACATACAATTATTTAAAATAAAACATTCACAGTTACAATAATAATGGGCTTTGGTTTTGAGAGTCATAAGAGGAAAACAAAAAGGGAAAAGAATAAAGTAGAGAGAATAACCAGAATGAACCATATTTGATCACTAGGTTATTCCACACTAAATGCTGGGCAAGAAAAGAAAAAAAGCCCAAACCCACACAAGTTATACAATTACAAACATTTTCCCCTGCACATAAACTCTTATACCTTTACTGACTGAAGAAACAAGCACATGATCTACTCACTGCAAGTGGGTTTTTAAAACACAGAGCACATTTTTCAAAAGAAAAACCCAATCTTACACATGGTCATTTAGGTAGTTCACGAGGGTGACCAGATGTCTCACTAAGACTATTCAGCACCCTCTGCTGGAGCACTTCCAGTACTACAAGTAACATAAAAACTATTCTTAGATTAACAAAATCTTCAAATATTGATATCTAATTGTAAAGGTATACTGAGTACTCAATGTCTAATCGCTTAGGCACACATGGAAATTACTTGCACAGCATATTATTTCCCATTCTATTCTAACATCATTTCCAAAAGTAGAAGCCTGTCTTTTCAGGGAGATAGAGGAAGAACAAAGAAAAAGACATACAAAGATGTCAACTGCATGGAGCACCTGAGCCTTCTCTTTTTCTTTAAAAATTGCAGACATTTAAAGTTTACTAAAAATGTAACAAACATGAGGATTGCAGATATGTTTGTAGAAATCCTTATATATACCTCAGGATGAGAATTCTCCTACTCATTTCAGCTGCAGCTCCTGAAAATACTTGTGAACTATTTCACCCAAGCTAAAAAAAAGGTATATTATGAGGATCGACACCTAGTATCCCAGCATGAGGGACATGATATACAAAGAAGCACAGACGATAGTGAAGTTTTTAAAAATATATAGTGAAATTGATTAGGATGTAACTTTCAGGAAAATGAAAAACAGTTAAGTTTGTCTTTCCAAATTTAAAGCTACTCTAACAAATAATTCTTTAAATAAATCTTTATTTTGTGGTCTCTTCTCTGTCAACAAAACCTCTCTTACTGTCTGATCAAAAATTGACTTGTACTATTAGAGCTACAGAAACCGCAGGCCCACTGCAGTTCTCTCTAGACCACCAGAATTTGTGGTATAATGGCAGTACAACTAAGCTTGCTGAACCCTAAATAACTAGGTTTGACTCCTACAATTCAGTGTTTGTAAGAGATTATTTTAAGCTGTAATTTATACAGGTTTTCCTAAAGGCACGATCAGATAACATGGAGATTTCCTCATGCCCCATGGCAAATCATTAAATACTAAGTATATCAAATACAAAAATATTTATTTTACTGCTTCAGAGCATAAACATACTCTCAAGACTCGGGCATGATGAGACAAGACTATGTCTTAAGCAAGCTGGAGACTGCAGTGACCTACAAAACAGTTCAATTATACTGCGGTCGCGTGTACCAGAAAGGTGTGGTTTCAAGGGCCAAATTAAGATGACAACATCAGACAGCTGAATGCATTAGACTACTCAGATATACACCTCCTCCTGTTTGGAGCTTTCCATTAAATAAACAGAATCAATGGTCCATCAGGTACTCAACTGAAAGTGAGCCAAATGAGTTACAAGGGGAAAAGATAATCTCCCTTTTAACCCCTCTGCTACCAATCCTACCATACAAGGAAATCATAATTTTACAGGAAGAAAAGGAGAGGGAAGAAGATATTGACTCAAGGGCTTACAGCTTAAAATTAATTGCCAAAATAATACAGTTCATGTGACATCCATTCTTTGGACAAGATTGGATAAACTACTCTGCCTACAGCAATCATCATTAAATAGTTACTACCCCTGCTTGCTCATTCCTGAGTGTGACAATCTGTGACTTGGTTCCAAAAAAACTTATTACTACAATCAGCAAGACTGAGATCATAATACCCCTGGTAGCTGGGGTGGAAATGAGCAACCAGGGATGGGCTGGAGGCAGTAACCTGTTACTCTGGCTCTGTCACAACCATCTGACCATTGCATTTGGAGGTTCCAGTGCTTTATCAGGGTGACAACAGTCTACACAGGAGTCCAGGGGTAAGTATTTTTTGCCCTTAGCAACATAGACATTTGTATTACAGTTCTTGTTATACAATAAACAAGAAATTATAAAAAATATTAACATGGGACTGAATACATCTGGATAGACCTCCTTTAAAAAAAAAAAAAAAAAAAAAAAAAAAAAAAAGAACAACCCAACAACAAATGACCCTTTCTTGCCCTCCAAGAAAACCCTTCACATTTAAAAGGTAGGTTATGTGCAAGCAATACATTCTAGAATTATTTTAAGATAAGATGGATCAGCATAATAAAGATATATTAGAACTCCTACACAAACTCACAATTCCACGAGGTTTGGAAGCTTCTGTGCAAGGTTTTCTGGCTGAAAAAGAGTTAGAGATTTTTTAGGTTTCAAAACAAAAAACAGACACACACATATTGTGTACCCAACTCATTTTAATAATCATACTAAAATATGGCAGGAGCTAGTCACAGAAAAAATGGCAACAAGGAGCTTGTATGCAATACCCTATTTCCACATCCCTGCACTTTCTCCATCAGTGCAATCTGGGATATATCAAGGGTGAGCAATTCACTACTGAAACAGAACTACAGCCTAGAAGTGACATTAACATGTCGTCAACCAAACGGTAGTCAGACTTCTGATGCTGAAAAGATGGATTACCAAAACCTCGCTTTTGAAAATATATTCAAATAATTGAGTTAGTTGAAGCCAAGAGACTGCTAAGAAGCTGCAGCCTTTACAGACTTAAAGCAGAATAAGAACTATACAAGATGTCTAACCATAATGTATTTTATTTTAGAATGCTGTTAAACTGGGAAATGACCTACAAACTTTGTGCAGCTTAATCAATTACCACCAAGCCAAAAGTGCTGAATCCATCAAACTACATTACCATATTTACATATTAACATGCATATCATTTTCTAACTGCTAACTGATCTCTAGCTGCAATTCTGTTTCTTGATGGCATTTATAACCATGAACATACATCACAAAATCAGCTTCACAAGTTTCAGATGTCACGTTGGTAACCGTACTCAAAATTATTCAAGGTTAAGACAATTTTATTGCTTAAGAAATCTACTTTGAACATAGATATGTTTTATTGAAAAAAGTTTTTACAGTACACTTATATGCAGAAACAAATGAATTTTAAAGGCAGCTCGATCACATGGTCAATTTCCTGTTAAAAAAACCTAGCAATTTTCACTGTGATGTAAATTTAAGGTATATTATTATCTAAAATACTTAACTTTGTGTTCATAAATTTATTATGAAGGAATATGCTAACCTGAAAAAGTAATGTTGTAATATTCTTATGTAGCAAACATGCCACATCTTAGATCTGAGTACGAAAAATAGTTTGTTTTTAACTATGGAGCAGCAAATGACGGCTGAATAACTGAATCTATTGAAGTCAAGACCCAAGAAACAGGCTGTAACTAATCAGTTGTTGCCACCTACTGGAAGGTTTGCTACAGTACATTTATCTTCTGCCGGCACAGAATTTTATTTCATCAAAGAGAAAAGCTTAAGTTGGGAAAATATGCAAGGGCTGCAACAAGCTCAAGCACAAAAAAATCAAGCTTTTATTTAAAAAATAAAGAGGGAATGTGAAAAAACAAATTCACTGTCATCCTACACTCTTTATTAGAATAAGGATACTAACCTGAATCACAAACTATTCTCACATTATACATAAAGGTTATACTCTTATTCTTGCTTTAACTGCTTCATATTGTAAGAGAGAGAAACTCAGGAGAGAGATAACTTTACAGTTTAGCAAGTCTATAATAGAAATTCTGCTTATCTTCTTGAGTACCACAATAACAATGGGTCTGAATCAAAGCTGTTCAATACAACATCCTACAATGAAATTAAGATTAAAAAAACCTATCCATGCTCTATCAATTGAGAGGCAGAACTAACTCTGGTCTCTATTGGTGACATGACAACAATGGTGATAAATGAATCATAAATTCTGCCAGCAGTTTAGTGAAGCTTGCCTTACCCTCACACCCACTGGACATTTTTAAAAAAGTGAACCTGCTGATCTGCCTGAACAGGACAGCATTGCATATTCTGAGTTAGTAAATTAAGAACAATTGTTCTTTGATATGGCTAGATCATGCTTCTGACAGTGCCATCAAGGCAAACATGTACTTTCTTTTAATAAATGGGGAAACAGGATTACTGGAAGGCTAATGTTATCAGTCAAACATTAAATGAGGAGAAGTTGGAAGACCTGATGCTGGGATACAGGTGTGCTATATAGCTTCTTGATCCATTCATTATGTCATAGCCCTCTATCATTTCCATCTTGCCAATGAAAACAAAGATGAAATTATTTTTAGGCAAGGTATATGTAAATTCTGTCAGCGTAACTATTCCAGATGTTTTCATAGGAGCCATCTGTCATAGACTAGAGTCATCTTGGAAGAGCAAAGAACAAAAGCTGATTTAGTCAACATTTTTCAGGACTCTGAAGGAATGAACTGGTGGGACAAAAGTACCACCTAACTTTAAATGTGTTGCAGATTTAGTTTTGATGATTGTTAATAATCCATATGCAATTTAAAGTATTTATTGATGAGCTAATGCTCATCATCTTGCATAGACTCAAAGGAGCACAAGGCTGAAAGAGACATCTTCCTTCAGTAACCTATTTGTTTTCAGCTATTCTCAGATGACATCCTCCCCCCCGCAAGGTAACTAACTTACTTTTTCTTTATTGAAAGTGCGAGTATTACTTGTCCTACCAGCAGCGGACATAAAAAAAATTATTATGAAAATACTGCTTTGTAAAAATACTGATGATTTCTGCTCTCCCCCATTCCTCCTCTTCTATTTTTTTTTCCCTCTCTGTCTTCTCTTTTTGCAAAAGGAATTAACCTAAATTTCTCAACCTTCTCTCACAGGTCATGTTCTCTAAAAATCCCACGTTGCTGCTTTCTAGGTTCTTTCCAATTTACTTAGCTAGATTGTTCTTAAGAATGAAACCCCAGACTCAATCTTTGCTCCAGCTTATGCTTTAACAGTATCCAATAATTATTCCCTTCTGCTTTTAACTCAGATTGTGAAATTTTCTATGTTCCAAAAAGACATCTGCCTTTTTTTGTAACACACTGCTGACTTGTTCTATTTTGGTCCACTACAACTTCCAACATCTATTCTGCTGAACAGATGCTCAGTGAATGAGACCCAATTTTGTTTGCCTCGTTCTTAGCTATAGTGCTATGCACTTGAATGAGATTCCACCAAGTCACATTATGAGCAAGTTATCCTGATCATTTTGAATCCTAATGCTCTACTTCACGCTGTTTGCAAGTCATTTTGCCTAGGTACAATCTACATTTTAAGTATTTTTTCAGTTCCTTTATCCCAGGCCTCGGTTACAATACCAAAGAGTATTGGGGAAGAGCTGTCTCCTTCATTTGATACATCTTCTTTTGACAGTAACCATGGGTAATTACTCTTCTGCCATCTTACACATCTATTGGCTCGTAGTATTAACAGATCTTGAGAGGAAAATAGAACTAACCTGTTACTTGCAAGACTCTGTTTTGGTTTCTATTTTATAATTGCTTTGAGAAAAACAAAATCAGGCTCTAACACATACACGCAGAAAAGTGATATGCAAAACTCTCCTTATCATTGTTTCATCTTTTAAGCAGTGCAAACTTCATGAACCTTACACCACTAAATAATCACTGAATTTCACAAAGTATCAACACAGAACTGTTTACAGTCTTCGGTTAATTTTTAAAGCAGCTTTAATTTGTAACCATGAATCCTATCTTCCCATTAAATTATTAAGCAAAGGACTTGCCCAAAAACAAAATGTGCCAAAATAATTCTCTACAGTAAGTGCAAACTTAAGTGACTCATTCAAGACGAAGAAAAGGCATAAAATCTTCAGAGTGCTTCCAGCTTTTGGCCCATGAAGTGAAACCGTTATTGAGGATTTCTAATGTATCATCATCAAAGCTTTAAACACTATTCCTTAAACTGGAGTACTGGATTTTTTCTAGGAAGCACTGAAAAACATGTAATTTTGGTGAATTTTAAGTAGTCAGGCCCTCTAGCTCCTCTGCCCTGGCTATTATTTTACCTGTCATACCACGGAAGAGCCCAAGTTAAAAAAAACAAAAAACAAAAAACCCACACACCAACAAAACCAACTGAGTTACTTGGAGACTTGAGCCTATTGACAGTGGCAAGTTTTGACTCTCTATAGCCTTACCAGCTGAGAATGTCTCACACAGTTATTTAACTATCCCACGCTGAATTCTGAGGTCACAACATTCATTCAGGATGAGAATTTGTTCAGTTCAGGGAAAAAACAAAACAAAACAAGACAAGACAAAACCACAACAGAAAATCCCACAACCCTGAAATTAACTGTTTGTTCTCCTACGGACAGCAGCCCATAGACACAAGTTTCCACTGGCACCTTAATAGCAAGCTTGGAATTAGACCCTGGGATTGATGATGCCTTTAAAATAGGGCACACACCAAGGTAAAAGCTGTTTAGCCTAATGAAGGCATGTAGACTAGACTGCGTAGTATCACCTAACAGTAGAAAGGCCTGACCGCTGAGGTAAGCAAAATTCATAGCAGTTAAAAAACAACAACCAAACAAAAAACAAACAACAAACCTCACAAGAAAACCCCCAGAAGATCTTCACAGAGCTTCAAAAGGGTAACCGTAACACGTCATAAACTTTCATTTATTATACTCTACATTACCTATGCAAGTTCAAACATAATACAACCAAATACTCATATTTCACAATAGATGACATAATTCAGGATTAGATTTGCTATAAGATTATTATTATTTTTAAAAATTATCTTGTTTTTTCTGTTCCAAAAATCAGAATTCCTAAACATACAGACAGTAAACATTACAATAAAGAGGTTGTCGTACCAATGTGGTCAGGGAATTTCTTTTCATATAAAGTCTCTCCAAGTACTGCAGCCCCTCATCTTTCAGTAACTCCAAAGGAAAGTGATGGAGATTTCGGTAATTTAAGAACAAGTTCTTGTGCCTTTCCAGCTTTGCCTCAGAGATTGTTTTACACAGTTCTGATGCCATGACTAATCCTGTTCCAAGCACCACATCTAACGCATTGCATCTTCTGAAAGCAGACCCATTTCTAGGGGACAAAAAGAGCAAAAAAAACCCATTACCAAGGTGTAAGCCATGCATTCTTTTGTGGAAAGAGTTAGTTATTATCTGATAATTTATCTGAACACACTTGTTCCAGTTAATATAGACATAAAGTACCCAGAACATCCACACCGTAAGATATAGTCAAAGTCTTACTTCTAACATTTTCTGGATAAAGTTTTAGCATGCTTTTGGACTGGCAATAACAAGATCTTAAGGTATAAATAATGTTTTTTTTCAATCCATTTTCCATGGACCTTTCAGATAATTTTGTCAAAGTTGCCACCACAAGGAAGAAAAAAAAAAAAAAAAAAAAAAAAAAAAGAAAGAAACCTCTCTCTGCTAACCATTATCAACGTCCTACATCTATTCTGTGAAGTGTGCTAAAAGAAGTATCCACAGATTAGAAAAATGCACAATTTAGCAGAGGACTTCTTATCTTCAGATGACTAAAATACCTTCATGTAGCTTTTAAGCCAGAATGACAAAATGCAATGAAAGTTTGTTAAGCTTTCCCATATAAAACTACCAGAAGAATTTATCAGTTGGAAGAGACATTGGGGATGGACAGCCAGTAAGGCCATTTTAAAATAATAAACAAATACATGAGAAATCTGAAACTTACAGCATGAAAATTTATAAAGAGCTAGATGTGACAGGAGATTTTCAGCTCTCTTTACTAAAAATAAAACCAGAAAGAACGAAATGTCAAGCTTTAACTGACAATTTCAAAACCAGAAAACAAAAGTATGAAGAAAAATTAAAAATTAACTCATATCTGAAACCAGACTTTATTTAGCTTGTTTTTCACGTATAACCAAAGTTCTAATTATTACGTTGTCTAGATTTAGATTACACCACCAATGCTACATCTTTTCAACTGTCTCAGAATTCAGGAGAACATAATAAATCCAGACTATTTATTAATTTAAAGTTACCAGTTTGCTACAGACTCGTGTGTATAAATTAATTTCCATTAACAAAGGGCAAGAAATCATAACTGCTTTCCACCAATAACATTTTCTATTTTAGTTCATTTCTTTACTGAAGGAGAGATTTCTAATCATAACAGATATCAGAAGTGAAGGTACTGAGTTACAAGCAAGAATCCTATCTGATTATAAGGTAGTCATTGTAAACAAAACTCCTTACCCAGCTGAAGACTGATAACTGGACCATACATGTAAATCAAACTACTTTATCAGTTTCAGTAATTCCCTTGATTTGCAGATAAGCAGCTTTTACCAGTCACCTACGTCCTTCTGGAAGAATACAGTATTTATTTTCTTAGAGTCCCATAAGCACTACTAATCACAACTTAGATGTAATATCCTGCACACCTTTTCTAGTTTTGAGTTATGCCCAATTCAAGCCATGCTAAGATCAGTTCTGTAAGCAAATGATTACCCTGCTGAGAATCCTATATAAGATTAGAAAGTATCAGTCCAACTTTGGTTCAACGGTATTCGTATGAGAAGAACCATCGCTGTAACAGTTGCCTTCATTAGCTATCTTAAGGAGCCAGGGTACACACACTGCTGGCCCTGGGCACTAGCAACACTAAAGCTCCCTTAGTTCAACAGATAAAGGAAATTAAGCCACTACAATTGCAAACTCCACACCTGTGATCAGCATTAAAATAATTCAAGAAAAAGCATCAGAATTTTTAATGTGCATAGTCTGAGAGTATTTGAGCACTAACTGCTACAATTCACAAAATGGTAACGGAAAGTTCATCGTTCCCTGAAATATTTTTTTAAATGAGAAGCTGCGAAGTCACAAAACACATAAACAAATATCCAACAGCCTTCCAATTTGTCCAGAGATGCTTTTTAGGTGTTCTGCACCTGTGGACTTCTCTTCAGAGTTTTGACTCCATATAGCAACTGGATCACATTTAGCCATGGCACACACGAATACAGAGATGTGCAAGTCCACAAATGCAAAGTCCAGTCATTACCTGCTCTATTTTGGCTATTACTTCAAAACCCTCCTACTCCCTTCCACCACCATCCAAACTTCTTCTCTTTCTCTCTAAATACTCTTTTTCCAGGGATGAGATACAGCACTACCAAAAAGGAACAGACACAATCACAGTCTTTAAGGAAAGGAAAAAGGGAGGATGAGGACAGATACACCCAGTGATGATGGCCCTGTGAGGAGTCAGGTCATCCAGGGGAGAAAAATCACCGTTTCACACAGGACAGAGAAGACAGAAATAAGCCCTCACTGAGCATACGACAGGCGAAGGCGTGCGAAGGGGTGACACGGGGAGGCTCAGGAGACCCCCAGCGCCGGGGGCCGAACCCGCCGAACTGGGGCTTCCTGGGGGGACGGAGCGCACACGGACGGATGAAAACTTAGAGAAGCCGCAGGGCACAAGAGAAGGAGTCTCTGAGGTGGGGCTGCACGGAGCCGCCCTGCTCGCTGCTCCGTGGGCCCTGGGAACCGGGGGAGGCCGGTCGGTCACGGTGGGTGCGAGGGAACCGGCCTGTCCTGGCTGTGTGTGGGGGGAGGCCGCCACGGGCGGAGGCCTGTGAGGGCTGAGGAGGCGGCGGGAGGCCGCCCCCAGGGCTGAAGTGCGGGCCGGAGGGGAGCAGGGAGGACGGGGCCTCGGCCCGGGGAAGGCTCACAGCCCCGCAGGGAGAAGGCGCCGTGCCCGGGCGCTCCGGTGGGCAGACAGCAGGGGGCAGAGCAGCGGAGGCTCCCACACGCCCACCCTCAGAACCCGATCTGCCCTGTCCCCCTCCCCGCGGGGAGAGTCACTCACCGGCACCGGTGCCGCCGGAGCGAAGAGCGGCGACAGCGGAGCGGGCCGCGGCCGCGCGAGACCTCCACAGCCACACGACTCTCGCGAGACGCCACCCGGCCGCAGCACCGCCCTGCCTCGCGCCCCGCCACAACACCGCCCCCTCAGCACCCGCGCCCGCCTCTCACCCAATCACAAGGCACCCCACCGCCCAACATCCAATCACAAGTTTCTCCTCTCTCCCAGCCTCATGTCCCCGTCAGCCAATGGGAGGGCGCCCCACCTCAGCGCCTCGGCCGCCTCCTGTCTGCGTCCCGGGGTCGGGCGCGAAGGCCGGGCTGGTATGGGCACGGGGCGCGTCCTTCCCTCCCGTGGCTCTCCTTGGGGCAGCACGTAGGCTCAGCTTGCCTTCCCGGCTGCTTGCACAGTTCCCGGTGTTAACAACAGTTATCCCTGCCTAACAGCTTTTGAAGGAGAGCGTCATTTGCAGGTAGAAGTTATGGTCGCCCGAGGCCATCTTCCCTGCCAAATTTTGATGCAACTAATGCTATCTTGTATTTCTTTGTTAACAGCAGACGGAAGACCCTTAGGTAATCCTGCCTACACCCCCAGCCTGCCCATCACGACCATTTTTACCCATGATAGCTGGCCTGTTGAAACAGGTAAGGGAATTATGGAGGCTCAATTTTACCTACGTGTTGTTCACCTGATTTTGATTTTACATGTGTCCATACATACTGAGATAACCCAGTACATAAATCCTATCCTAGGGAAGGTCTTGATTGTGTTATGACAGTAATCTAATGACAGCAAATTCCCTTATACTCGGAATATTTAACATTACTGGGTATTAAAAGTTCTTCGTTGCTGAAGAAGCCCTACCAGCTGCCTAAAAAAGGAATCCCAGCTGCAGAAATCCTCTTTCTAGTTCCCACAGACTAATTAACATAAACTTGTCTTAACAAGATTCGCATACAGGTCTGCAGAGGAACCAAGAAGCTGAATGTAGAGGATTAATACCTTGCAGAAGGCATTTCTTCTCTCCTATATATCCACAGAACTTTCACTTGAAGCAAAGCAACATGCAGATAAAGCTTAAGATTTTTTTCTCGCAGACTCATTTCTCTCTCTTTCAGTTCTAAATAAAGAATAGCAGCCCTTAATTGCTTATTTGTCATTTTCCTGCACTTGAAAGGCAATAATTTATTTTGAGAAATATACTTGCTCAGTCTTACTTGGCACTTGCAGTCTTTTTGGAGTTGTTTTTTCAGATAAATAGATTGGATTTTGTTGAAATAATTTAAGATGAAATAATTTACCCTTCAAAATTCAACATCCTCTATATTTATCATATCATACTGCACACGTTATTTCTTATGGTAGTTGATAGTACTTGTCTGTTTTTCTCAGCTGGATGTTAAATTCCAGAAAGTGGTCTGCTTGTATACCACTGCGGTTTTAAAAACAGCAGTTACATCACATTTCTTAATGTCGCTTTGGTCCCACATTATAAATATCTGAGAAATCAGAAGTTAAGCATACTTCAGACAAAAGTAGAAGCTGAATATGAGCACAGTTAGCAACAGATTCCTCAGAGGGAATGCAATGATGTGTCAGACCAAATGTTCTCCAGGATATTAAGTCATTGATCAGGACAGAAACTGTGTTCCTGCCTTCTTCCACTAAAGTACAGACAGGAAAGATGAAGCTTTTTTTCTTGGGAGACCTGCTCTTAACAGAGCCAAGATACTTAATGTGTTTCTTTACACAGACGTTGTAATATTTTTGGTTTTTTGGTTGAGGATTTTTTTGAGACAGTAACAGGGAGGAGATAAGATTACTGCATTCTGATATTTTTGAGAGCAAACTTTTGTCTGCTGCTGCTTTTCTGCTCACACCAACAAAGGGACTACAGAGATCAGAGCAATGCTAAAATGTCTTTGGTTCTGCTCTGTCACGGAAACAAATTCAGCTCTTGGGGTGTGCCTCCAGTGATTATATAACATACTGTACACATGGATTCAACATAAACTGCAGGAGCAGTTTAGGATCACTGAAACAATTAAAGGTGTTAATACATATATAGCACTGGGGCTGTCAATATTTCAGTGGGGAGTTTTAAAACTGAGGATTTGAAAGAGTATTTTTTTAAATCTCTTTGTTTTCTGAGTGAGAGGGTTCCTACTAGCAGTAGTTAAAATGTCTTCTCCCTAGTGATAATAATGTATATGATTCCCTCCAGACTGCT